TATATATATATATATATATATATATTTCTTACATCTTACATGAACTATTACGTCAAAGATATATTCACGATGGCAAGATAAACACCAATTTGGTTAAAAAACCAAAAACAACAGAAGGAAATATGTTTTTTTTTTTTGGATGAAATTATATATTTCACAAATACTTTCGTTTCACGACAATGCGTAATTTATATATATATGCCCAACAAACAAATCACAAATAAATTTATAACATTATTCTTTCACTTTTTTCTTCCTTCATTTAGTTCCATTACATTCTTCTACTTTCTTTTCTTCTTCTTTTTTTTTTAATACTTTATATCGTATATACAATTTATACGATGACCGTTAACTGTTCTATATTTTCGTTATGTCAATTTACATACTTATAGAATAATATATTATAATTTAATATTTGTGTTAAATATTTTTTTACACGAAAAGGACTTTTAAGATGTATCTCGCCACAGTTAGTCACACGCGATACTAATTGTAAGTTGCGAGTAAAAGCAACACAATGCATGAACTTTCAATACTTATTATTAACTTAGTTTTATTAGTTTCGATCAATGTTTGCAATTTTACGTCAGAAATGTACATCCCTCAACAAGGAATAGCAACTAGCACTCTGGCAAAAAACAGGAAAATAAAATGAAAAGTCATTTTATGGATTCGCGTAAACGTGTTCCATAGAATCTGTGAAATTACAAGATAACGTCTACTTGCAAAATATTTCGTTCTACTTTCAATCATGCGATAGATGGGAAAAAGCAACATGATAATGCTAATAAATAAATTGAGATATCAACGACTATCTTATAATATAATAACTCTTTAACGCTTCGTACAATATACTCAGGTTTATTACATGTAATAATTTGATACTCGTTTATCTCTTCTCTCTCTTTTTTTTCTTTGTTTTTTTTTATCGAAATTTTTATTATTATTTTAGCGTAACCATTCGTTCTTTGAACGTGAGGGAGAGAGAGAGAGTGAAGCAAGAGGAAGTTAACGAACGTAATTACGCATCCGCAGCTCCGGTAATTTAATAACGAACGTTTGCAGTTATTTCATAGGCAAATAGGCAGAGTGTTCAAGTATTTTGCTACTTCAATATAAAGTATGTACGACGCAATCGCGTTCTGGTAGTTGACGAACTTTCATAGATCCATCTGCACCGCATGAAAATAAACGGCCGGCAGAATCGACGTGTAATTGCGTTACACCCTGAAAGAAAGTAATTCGTTGAATGAAAATGTAAACGGAAGTAAACGGAAGTAAGTAACGTACTGCGATCAACATACTTGTCCAATGTTTTTAAAGAAACTGGATCGTGGATGCTCTCCGGGAAAAGAGTAAAGCAGAGAATGGACGGTTAAACCCCATATCTGATCGAGAAATATCGATGTAACGATTAATTAACGAAAATTATTCCATTATATTTTTTACACACGCACAGTAAGTATATTTCAAAATATACAATCACCTTGATATCACCATCTCCTGCTCCACTAACGAAAAATTCTTCATGCGGATCGAGAGCTAAGCATTTGATAGCCGACTCGTGAGCTTGAAAGCGATGCCGTTGCTGTCGTTGTCGAACGTCAAATATATTAATGTCGCCTTTCTTACCACCGCTGATCAATAGCTGATGTTGGGGTGCAAGTATCAACGAGCTAGCTCCTTGTTCGTGACAGGTGAAACCTGAAGGTGAAGGTGAAGGTAAATAGGAAGAAGAAGAAGCGTAAGTAGGAAATTTACGGCAATTTACGGATATAAGAGGTAGAAGCACGCACCTTGGATGAGAGATTTATTTTGTGGAAGTAGAGTATCCCAAAGCGCGACATTACGCCCTTCGGAACCATGGCCAGCGGTTGCTATTAAGCTGCACGCCCCGAGGAAGACGAAATCGGCCGTCACCTTGCTATGGCACTGATAATTCTGTCGGAAACAAGTTGTTGTCAATTAGTTGTCAAATTCATTTCATTTCATTTCATTTCACTCTATTGTTTACGACGATATGGTTTACAAAGTTAGGTTTAGGTCGATTAATCTTTTTCTGCGTGTGAGAAGAAGTGTGAGAACAACTCTTACAAAGAATGGTCGCGCAGTTCCTTCTCTGCAGGCTACTTGAAACAAACTCAGATGCCCGTCAGAGTCCGCAACGCCAAACTTATTCCCATGCTGTGAGAAACGTACACGGGTCACTTTGGCAAAAGTACCTGGTGGTCGAGGAGTCGCTACCGCTGTTTGATGTCCCCATTCCCAAAGCGACACCGAGCCATCTTGACAGCCAGTCAAGTCTGTTTATTCAACACACATCCACGAGTATTGATTAACAAACAACAACAACAACAACAACAACAAAATCTGGTGGCAGCATTTGCTTTCAAATATCCAAGTGGCGTGGGATTTCATTTGTAATTATAAATAATCATTCGAAAGTAAAAATACGTAGTGTGCTTACATAATGGTAAGAGCGGATGCGAGGAAATCCTTCTTATGCCATCGATCTTATGCTTCAGAATCTGTGCGAAACAAAATGTTACGTGTTATTATTACGTAAATAAAGGTCTCGTG